TCGGTGCTGTTGAACGGCTACTCCAGCAAGTTAATCCCGCGAAGGCAACATGCAGCGATGGCGTACCAGGGGCAGTCCTCAAACTCTGCTCTGACGTCTTGGCGCCGTCTGTCACTAGCCTGTTCAATGCCTCGCTGTCGTGCGGACATGTGCCCTCGGCGTTCAAGCTAGGTAATGTCATCCCACTGCATAAATCTGGTGATCCATCGCTGCCAATTAACTTCCGCCCTGTATCCCTTCTACCCATACTCTCCAAGCTGCTAGAGAAGTTGGTTCAGAAGGAGCTCATCACCTTCCTGGACATAACAGCATCGTTACCAACAACCCAGTTTGCGTTCAGGCGTGGCCACTCTACCGAAGACCCTGGCACGCCCACATTGCCAAATGTTCTGCACGCGTGTCGCAGAAGATCGGAGCACTCTGGCGAATGCGGCGTTGCCTGAATCACCAGTCACGCATGACCTACTTTAGATCGCTGATCATGTCTGACTTGCTGTATGCCTCAAACGCGTACTCTAGCTCACTGCAAAGAAGGTACCGCGACCGTCTACAGGTCCTGCAGAACAGCGGGGCTCGTGCTGTCTTTGGCCGCCCTCCGTGGTCGTCTGGCCGCGACCTGCTGGAGCGCATTGCAGTGTTCCGTGTGGCAGAAGTCTTCAATCAGAAGCTAGCATACCTGGTGTGGCGCTGTCGTTATGCACTGGCAAGTCCAGAGTTGCAAGCCCTGCTAACCCCCGCTGCACCCGGCCCTACTCGGCTCCAATCTGCCATGGGCCTGTGCGTGCCAGTTTCCCGTTCGGATGCGGGGCGGGGGCGCTTTGCTTGCAAGGGTGCTGTATTATGGAATGCTCTCCCCAGCGATATCCGTGCCACCCATCACGCTCGGCAGTTTCGCACGCAGGTAATCCCCTATACCTGCGCCCTGTAGATGTCGACAAGCGAAATCTGATTTTTTCTGTTCTCTTTCTGTTGTACCCGATCTCCCTCTGATGTACCGCTGACTCTACGTTGAAGATCAAAGTATTTGAATTCTCATTCTCATTATGATTTTCATATTAGCTTTCATGTTATTGGGTTCTATGCCCGTTTGAACTTGCGAATCAAAATAAATACAAACAAACAAACAAACTAACGTAAACCAACACATTTTAGATAATAATTGACTTCGAAACAAAGCATTCAGATGACACATTTGTTGAGGTAGTTGCCAACCCTGCACAACAGCCAAGGGCACGAGAGCTCCTCTTACCGACATGTTGCAGACATGCTGGCATGTACAAGCCGTCTACATGGATCGAGGGGATGACGTACGTCTGCATGGCAGTCAACATCAGTTTGCCATAGTACTCCATGTACGCCGTAACAGCTGACGTGTTCTGCGGTAAGATAACCCAACGGAAACAGAAGGATTTAATACCAGAGCCAATCATTCCTCTGAGAGAAAGACGAACTGAATCAGAGAGGGTGAGAGGAAAAGAGAGAGGGAGAGAGAGAAAGAGAGAGAGAGAGAGAGAGAGAGAGAGAGAGAGAGAGAGAGAGAGAGAGAGAGAGAGAGAGAGAGAGAGAGAGAGAGAGAGAGAGAGAGAGAGAGAGAGAGAGAGAGAGAGAGAGAGAGAGAGAGAGAGAGAGAGAGAGAGAGAGAGAGAGAGAGAGAGAGAGAGAGAGAGAGAGAGAGAGAGAGAGACGGAGAGAGAGAGAGAGAGAGAGAGAGAGAGAGAGAGAGAGAGAGAGAGAGAGAGAGAGAGAGAGAGAGAGAGAGAGAGAGAGAGAGAGAGAGAGAGAGAGAGAGAGAGAGAGAGAGAGAGAGAGAGAGAGAGAGAGAGAGAGAGAGAGAGAGAGAGAGAGAGAGAAGGGGGGGGGGGAGGGGGAAGAATATATCTGCACAATTCAATGCCATAACTTTACCATCTTCACCATCCTTTTTCTACCCAGATTTAGTACAGTGCTGGGGGGAGGGGAGGGGGAGGGGGAGGGGGGGGGGGGGAGGGGGAGGGGGGGAAACGGGGTCGTAGCTCACAAATCTGTGGTGCGGTGTGGTGACTACGTGCCAGAACACATCGGTGGTGTGGTGCCTATGTACGGCTGGCAACCTCATAGCTGCCAGTTTTGCCCATTTTGACAACGTAGTACGTATTACGGCCATTTGCCGGTGCGGTGACCGGAGCAAACTGGCTATGCACGAGCTACACGTCTGGGGGCACAACTAGTATTGTGTGTTCAAGTCACGCATGAACACGAGAAGAGACACTGCGGGGAGTGCCATGAGACTGGACAACAATAGGTCGCTCCACAATATCGTTCTGACGTAACGGGAAACGTTGGACGGTGAGAGAATCAACAATACCTTGATATACTTCAGCAAGAAGTAGACATTCGCCGGGCCACACAGATACTTTTGCAAATGGTTGGCGTCTCCGCAAAGCTCGTTGACAGTGGAGTTGTATAGGTTGTACAAGGAACTGTTTTTCCTCTGTGCAGGCAGCTTAGTTAGGAATTATTGATAGATGAGGGGAAGCCCATCTTGGGGAAAGAAGTAGCCCCCATGCAGATGGGCAGCATACCAACACAACTGCTGTGCAAGATAACGACTGGTAAAGATACACAGACTTTTAAAATAGACAAACCAACCGAGGGCATGTATATATGGATGGAAATAGCATGGACTCAGGGACAGTAGTGTCAATGGAGATCCCATGCAGAGACAAACACCCAAATCTGAACAGAAAGGCACCTCAGCCGAAACGTATGGTGGTTCGTCAACAAGATTGACCTCCACTCAATGTCCAGTCGCAGGTGTTTTTTGGTGAGAGTGCATTAGTCCGGTGTGCGCCAGACATGCCAGACTGTTTTTCACTGGTTCGGCCATGCCACGCTCGTTCACACTCTGTGTATGATATAGCGAGTATGCATGACCTCGTCCAGAGTAAACACGAGTTGGTGACCTGAAAGTTGGCCCGTGGCCATGCATATAATAACTATTCCGCCGGGCCCGTACATTGGTTCAGTGCTCCAAAGACATTTCGGGGATTCATTTCGATACATTTGAATCCCCTTGTAAAACTGCTGCAGACCTGGACGTACCCTGCGAGTTTATTATTATTATGTGCTTGTTCGCGTAGACATCAGCATGGCCTGCAGCTGCATTAATGGGCATGCAAATCATGCAAACCAGCCAAAAATGTTCGCATAAGCCACTTCGAATAGATACAAAAGACCATAACAGTTTCAGAAAAAGAAGAAATATGCGAAAAGAAGACAAAAACTAGGGTGCCGACACCACTCGGGCACAGATGCCCACCCAACCGCTTCGGTCAGCAGCAAGGGCACGGAACGCCTCCAGATCGACTTTGCTTGACAAGGAAAGGCCAATCCGCTTGGCAACACCTTGTAGTAGCGTTGGTAGTGTGTGTCTTGGTCGTCCCCTCCAGCCCGCTGGACGAGGCTCTGCGAAGTACGCTCCCATGGCCAGTGATGGTGGGGAGTCAGCCGGGAGCCGGAGGACGTACCCAAAGAGCCTCCACCTAGCTCTCAAGATGATAATGCCGAGAGGAACCGCGCCGGTACGCTCATAGAGCCTCTCGCTCCTAATCCGATTCGGGAACACAATGCCGATTAGCGCCCGCAGCTGTTTTCGGTGGAAGGCCTCAATACGGCTCAGCTGCTGTTTCGTTGGTGCCCATGTTGCACAATTGTAGCAGAGTACAGGGAGTACAAAGGCATTATAGAGCCGGATGCGGAGATCCTCCGAAACTAGCGACCCACGGATCCACAGCGTCCAGAGTTTACCAAAGGCAACAGTTGCCAGTTGCTGTCGCCGTAGCATATCCTCGGCATCACCTAATAGGGACCCGAGTTTCTTGGTGGTTCGCCACTCCTCCTCGATGCGATCAGTGTGCTGTTCGATGTGCGTGTGCTCTGTTTTGGTCTCATTCACTTTCAAATCCCATTCGAGAAGCTTGTTGGATATGGTTGGAAGGAGGGTCCTCAGCCTCTCACCATCAGTAGTCACGAAATCCACATCGCCGGCGTAGGCAGTTTCAGTTGGTAACCCCAGGGAGATATCGGCAGGGGGACGTGGTAGAAGAAGGGGCCGGACATCACGCAGCGCACCCTGCGGAGTATGTGTGCCAAAGGGAAAGGCTGATACGTTATCCAGTCGATCTGTTCGTACACTGCAATGGCTCCCGCCGATTCACCGCTGACTAAGATATCTCTAGCTCTGTACAATGTACAAGACACAACAAATCATTGTCGGTTTCAAAACCAACGAAAATCAGAATACTCGCGAACGAATATTTGGGCTGAAACTGTCACATTTTTAGGTTCTCAGCTAACTGGAATCGTAACGGTTAACGGTAATCGAGCTGTTAAAGCCTATAAAGCATGTACCCTGCTTTTATGTGCCGTTCTTGTATATCCCGTGACTGCGGGTACAGTCAGACCTCGCTTAACCGCAAACAACCGTTTTCCACAAAAATATCCGGATAAGCGAGGGAACCGGATAACCGAACACCGTTTATGTTGTATGCATCACGTATGCTGTAAATATGTAACCAGCTATTTTCTTCTGGATGGCGAGGGATCCGGAGAAAAGAGGACCGGATAAGCGATGTCTGATTATACCCTGAAACAAACACCACGCACCGTAATGTACTACTCGATAAAATCCGATCCCGTGAGTCAAATGCATGTTGGGCGCTGAGCAGCCCTAGACCTGCAAAGACTGAGATAAGCAATTGTGAAGGCGGCTAACTTGTCTCACACAGGGTGGGGTTTCATTCTTCAGTACTGTACAATGGATGCATGCTATCCCCTGCTCAATGTTCCAGGGTGGATTCATTATTCTTTCACCACTCCATGCTACAATTATACAGGGGCCACAACATGACCTTGTCGTCGGGGGGGGGGGGGGGTAATTCCAGACGATAGGCCCTTCCGATTACTCTCTCGACCCCATGTACATCCCACCTACACCACACTCAGAGGGCTGAATATTTGGCTTCACTGCAAAGAGAGTCTCAAGAAGAAGGCCAACACAGAACAACAAGAATGCGCACAAATGCACTCATGCGCAGTCCGCGCAGGCACCGACAACATACGACCACACAAAAAATGCATTCTCTCCTGAGGATGAGAGAGAAGAAAAAAATGAGAAGAAAGACAGGAGAAAAAGAAATCAAATGTGACCAACATACACAGGCGAGTATAAACAAAACATGCAGGGCCAAAATAGTAGTATACGATAGTAACTCCGGACAACGGGGAAAAGCAAAAGCAAAGGGGTGGAAAGAAAACAGACTGGGCCCACCCATAGAGGGAACCGCCATACTTTCAGGCGTGGGCCCCCGGGAAACAACCACCTTGCCCTGATGCGAAGCCAAGGCAAACCGACGGCACTGCGAAGACCGCGGCAGCTGAACCGGGTGACCAGTCATCTGGCAGCACAGGAGTTGTCCGGAAAACCATCACGCAGCCGATGGGGCTACGAAAACTCACAGAGACACACACAGAAGGAAACGCGGACTGACGCAAACATCTCAGCCATACCAGGAGCCAAAAATCAGACAAAAACACAAGAAGGAATGGCAGAACAGCAACGTTGAACACGCCTACGGAAACAGGGGCAGTCTATCAATGAGGACACCAGATAGCACACAAACAAATCGGTCATCAATACGCAAACAAAAAATAACGTAGAAAAACCACAGGGCGCTACCCTGAATAACCACAGGCCTCTAACCTGAAAAATCCACAGGGATTGAACCTGCAAACCCACAGGGATTGAACCTGAATATCACGCAGGAAGCACATCCGCTCACAAAACACAAAAAACAAAAAACCGTCCTGAACCCTACTGGGACGCAGAAAGGCCAGCCAGCAAAACACGGAAACCGAACACCCGCAAGGCGAACCGATAAGGCGAACACAGAACAACAACAATGCGTACAAATGCACGCATGCGCAACCTGCGCAGTCCTCGCAGGCACGGAGAACAACATTGTCGTGCATCCATTACACGCAGACCTCACAGTGTCAGCACGTGTTATAAATTATAATATAACTACTCTTACGTTTATTGGTTACAATGAAAACGTAACTAACTGATCGTTGCGTAAACAACTACACGCTCATTTATGCTAAGAGGATACGTAACCGATCAACCATGCAAGCCGCTTCGCCTATAGCAAATACCTGAATTCAGAGACGCGCTACAACTCTTCCTGCTGTAATGAAACTATTCTCCCCTCCTCAGTCTGTTCCCCCAAATTTCTATTTGCCACACAGTCAGAGTTTAGTTTGGTACCATTCGACAACACCAATGGTTGTTTGATGGGTAATGTTGCCTTCGAACCTGATACCTATGTGTTGTGCTCGGCCTGCAAGCCACCCAGGAGTCACCGCTAAGGGCCTGACAGGCTAGGATTGTTTTCGGAAAGGGAAACAGCCGAACGCAATTGGTAGTGAACAGCTAGTGGATGACGTAATGTACACTACTACTGTCTTGGACATGGAAATCCAGTCGATTGACCGGGGCTTGCGACCTCAGCCCGTACAGAACGCTGCGTGCAGTGCACAGAGTCATGTTAATCCGATGCGACCAGCGCGCTGCAGCGGATAAATGCATGTATGTAGCGCTTATCCACGGCTGCATGGCCAGCACCCTGGGTCCGCTAGACGTGCGACCGGATTTCCTTGTCCACGACAGTAGTATAATTGCTACGAGTGCAAATATTTCGAAAGCAATTTGAACACGAAGTCAATGTAATAAACATGGAATGTATGCCTTCACATTGAGAAAAAATGCTGAGTTTACAGTTTTGATTTCATACAATCATATCGCTTGTTCTCCGCGGAAAAACCGTCGAAGAAAGGATGAACTTAATACTTCCCAGTTGCTCACCCGTTGAGGTTGTTGACTTTCCGCAGCTGTGCGTGGACGGCAACGACGGTCAAGTGGCCAGAGGAATATGGCTGCGTTTGCTGGCCATAATGCATGTCTCCACTGCAGTACTGAACCAAACAACAAACGGAAAAGTAACACAGGAAATGACTGAACTATTCAACCAGTAGAGGATACGCCGAATAACATGTGACTTGACTTGGGAGGGCATTGCAGAGCAGTTGCTTACACAGTTCAAAGTTGTACGGTGTACGGTGACCTGTGACTTGTGCTCCTACAGAGCTCAGGGCCAACCGTGTAGACATTGCAGTATAATCTAGATACAACTGGTGTGCAATGCCTTCCCACATCTATATGTAATTGCACCTTACTTGGCATATCATCTATGATAATCGTCAGACAGCTGTCGTCGTTGACTATTAACAGTCCTAGAATGTAACGGATAATTCAGGAACTCCAGCGGAAATCATCTCCATATTCATTCGTTAGGATCCTGTTGTAAATTTGGAATGCCCGCGTGATGATCTATAACGATTTCATGCCCTGATAGAACAGCGCTGGCAAATGCTCTGCTGAACACGGCATTCAGGCCGCCAAGTAGACAATCATAATAGGTCTGACAGGACTTTACGACTGAATCGAGGCCGAGTGCACACTGCCAAGGGCGCAGGCCAAGGTGCGTAGCGCCGAGGCCAGCGCCCGCCGTCGTACGCACGAGGCCTTGATGAAGGCGAAAAGTCCTGCCAGACCTCTATGGTCGTGTTTCAGGTTTTGTCTTTCCCATCTCTATTATATAAGCAAGACACCTCTTATAGGCGTGGTGGTCGGCGACGTGATGGATTCAGCTTTTGTGATTTTCAGCTTGTGAGTTTCACCTCCGTCCGCTCCTCATGAATGGGAAAAAAACATGATCCTTGCTTCAGAGTAAATCCATGATCTTTCGCTTGTTCGCATATTCAAAATGCTCTGAAATGTTTGGCAACTCGTCAAGTACATGTGGAACGCTTAGCCATATAATTTCCACTAGGCCTTTCGTACCATTACTCTGCAAGTCGACTACAATGGTGATCAACAAGATAGCAAGCAAGTCCTTATAACCGCCACTTTGGTGGTCAGAGCATTGACAAAAATAGCACTTGAAAAATAGCGCTAGTTGCACCAACAACATATTTGGCGTGCAGAGCATAAACCAAATGGCACTTTAAAAGATAGCTCTAGTGGCGCCAACGACACAGTGAGACAATGAACATTACCAGTATCAGACAACAGTGGGGACCGCGCTACTACAATGTCAAAACAGTGACAACTTTCGCACATACTTCTTTGGCACGCATAGTTCAGGCTTCTGCTTGGCAATGTACACTGCCTCCAGCACAGCAAGGTGAGATTTGTTGCGGGCACGCGCTTGAATCGTGAAGTGAGAGTGGGTGCCATGTTTGCAGACTGCACTTAGGCAGGCTGGTGACGATATCAGGCGGCGGAGTATCGCCGAGTCCATCTTATTATCGTCATTGTCCGTTGGTCCATTCCTGGGGTAGCTATTGTTACATAGAGCAGCACATCCCCAACAAACTCGTACGGACAGTTACAGGAACAACAACACCGGTTAGGACAGGGAGAAGCCGAGCAGTCAAGGACATCACCGTCACCGTCAAGAAAGGGAGAAGACAATCAACACCGCTCAAACCACCAGCAACTGTCACGGGACGAAGTGAACGGCTGCGTCTCCGCAACAACGCTCTGCAACAAGCGGTTGATACAGGATCGGCATGTGGAACAGTGTGTGACTCCTCGCCCGGCAGAGAAGTCGCCAGCGGCACATCTGCGATGCACAATAGCTACCACAGGAATGGACCAACGGACAATGACGATAATAAGAAGGACTCGGCGATGCTCCGTCACCTGACATCGTCACCAGCCTGCCTAAGAGCAGTCTGCAAACATGGCACCCACTCTCACTTCACAATTCAAGCGCGTGCCCGCAACAAATCTCACCTTGCTGTGCTGGAGGCAGTGTACATTGCCAAGCTGAAGCCTGAACTGTGCGTGCCAAAGAAGTATGTGCGAAAGTTGCCACTGTTTTGACATTTTAGTACTGTGGTCTCCACTGTTGTCTGATACTGGAAATTTTCATTGTCTCACTGTGTAGTTGGCGCCACTAGCGCTATCTTTTAAAGTGCTATTTGGTCTATGCTCTGACCGCCAATTTTGCTGTTGGCGCCACTAGCGCTATTTTTCAAGTGCTATGTTTGTCAATGCTCTGCCCACCAAAGTGCCGGTTATAAGGACTTGCTTGCTACCTTGTTAATCACCATTGTATTTGACCTGAAGAGTAATGGATTGAAAGGTCTAGTAGAAAAAATTATATGGCTTCTGTGCTTCGTGTGCTGACACACACATACGTGCATGCACACAAACACACTCGCACACACACACACACACACACACTCGCACAAACACACACACACACACTCGCAAGCACACACACACACACACTCGCACGCACACACACACACACGCACACACACACACACACACACACACACACACACACACACACACACACTCGCAAGCACGCACGCACACTCGCAAGCACACATACACCTGTTCTGTACTGTCCTGAACATGGCCGTCAGGCGGTCACATGTCGCCTCATACGAGGGGTCGACAAAGAAGGGCCCGCCACTGGGCATGTAGAGCAATCGTCGTCGGGTCGACACTCATGGCCGGCGAGGCCTCCACAAACACACACACGGCACACACACACACACACTTATATGCCACTTATATGGGCTCATCATATCTCAGTAAGTGGGTGAGGACAAGGTGCAGAAAAAGGATTGACGGCATCAGGGTATCCGTCCCGGGATCCAACTGCAGTTACCCCTGCCCCAGTGAAGGTAATACTTGCTACTAATGTGAGTGGCTAAATCAGAGTGGATCTGATAAAAGCTTCACTAGCACCATTGATTACACAAGAATTAATCTAGCCAGATGCATTCCATGGTTACCAGGTATACTTCAAATAGAAAATAATATGAACCCTGAAACCAACAAAGGTGGCAGATACAACAATACACCTTCAAGCAGCCGAGTCTGTTGGCAACAGACCAAACACAATCAGGCATTAGTGTACCTACTAACCGAACTAGCTGGTAGCTAGTACAAACACACGCGCGCGCACGCACAAGCACACACACACACATCCTGTCCTTTCCTGTAGAGCCACTGCCACAGGGGTCACGTGGGCCCCTCTGGGGCCCACGTGACAACATGCACACACACACACACGCTAACACCCAGACACACACACACACACACACACACACACATACACAGGAAACATACCGATAAATAGACATGGTTCCACATGCAGACCCCGTTGTTTTCGCTTGCGTTACTAGACACCAGTCCAAATCCACTCATAGCAGAAGCCCAGCTATTGGAAGATCCTAGGTCACTCTCCGTGCGAGCCTGACAAGACTCCTTGCTAGCACAGAGACCACCACCTGGGCGTAACAGACACATACACGTGCACAGATGCACGCACACCCAGACACAAACGCACAAGTACACACATTACCTGATCACACCGCAAAATCCATATGAGAAAAAGGCGAAGAAAAAAGGATTTCCGACACCAGACTATAATTATGTGGAATTAGATCCAGCCGTTACAGGCCCCCTCCCCCACCCGTTCCCCTCCCCTGCTTCCCAGTGACCCTTAATGCTTGTTGGGGTTGTCAGATTTGGCGACATCTGATACATGCTCTGCTTACTACTATAGAGAATTCCACGCAGCCAAACCACGGTCCCCAGTTCAGGTATCAAGGCAAGTAAAGGGCACGCACGAATGTGCGCCACACCTCTCCACCCCACCCCCCCCCCCCACCCACAACACACATATCTCATACCCACTGATGCACACAGACACAAAAACATCTCCACTCTCCACCCACCCACGCACGAGCACAAACACACAGTTTTCAAAATAAATTTGTCGCAATCACGTTGCCATTTCTCCCTCTCCCGTACACACACAAGCATACACATGTACAGAAACACGAAAGCACACCCCCTCCAACCCCCCCCCCCACACACACACACCTAAATGTATACACATAGATGCAGGCACAACGAACTAAGTAAAATGAGCGTGTGGGCGCCAAACAATTAGAACTGACCTTTGAAGTAGAAACCCCTCTTTCTGGATTGCAAACCTGGTTCAAAGTAGAAACCACTCGGCGAACCGTCCACACAGCGTGCACTGAACTCGGACACTTCTTGGTTATCGAAACGATAGAGCTCAAGCATCTCGAAAGCATCAACTGGTTGCATGCAAAATCTGTGATTTGTGAAAACGAAGAATAAATAAAACAGGATCTTTTAAAAGGCTCGTTCCAAAGATAATTTGAAACTCGGATGTTGAGCCATAAATAAATGTAAAAGAGAAAAGGACATATGGATACGAGTTTAGAGTAACTCTCCATCACTGTAACATGATACTATATACAGTCAGAAAGTGCAATAACTAGGCACAAAACTGACAGAGTACTGAGACATTCGACGTCCTGACACCTAACTTTAACACATCTCCGTAGCGCTAACCGACAGCCTTCCAACTTGGAAGGTTCAAGGTTATGGAAATACCAAAGAGGGGAAGGCAAGCGCAACGAAAACGAGCAAAAGCCACAGTCCCAACGGAACAAAGAATGTCGATTGTTACTGGACGATGACGAGACCAGTACGATATTTGACAAAGCGGTCTAACTACAATTCGAAGCAGCAAAGCAGCACACCACCCAACTTGGGTGGGTCATAAATATCAAAGATAAGTAAAGAAAGGGAAGCTTTGCGAAAACGAATTGTACAAGCCGAAAGCCAAACTCCTACAGTACTTGAACCTTCCAAGTTGGAAGGCTGTCGGTTAGCGCTACGGAGATGTGTTAAAGTTAGGTGTCAGGACGTCGAATGTCTCAGTACTCTGTCAGTTTTGTGCCTAGTTATTGCACTTTCTGACTGTATATAGTATCATGTTACAGTGATGGAGAGTTACTCTAAACTCGTATCCATATGTCCTTTTCTCTTTTACATTTATTTATGGCTCAACATCCGAGTTTCAAATTGCACACCTGATGAGCCGTCACGAACCATACGGCGAAACGTACGTCGTGTGAAACAACTTGTTTTGTAGTCAACTAGTCCATCACAATGTCATGCATGAGGAGTACTGTAGGAGTTTGGCTTTCGGCTTGTACAATTCGTTTTCGCAAAGCTTCCCTTTCTTTACTTATCTTTGATATTTATGACCCACCCAAGTTGGGTGGTGTGCTGCTTTGCTGCTTCGAATTGTAGTTAGACCGCTTTGTCAAATATCGTACTGGTCTCGTCATCGTCCAGTAACAATCGACATTCTTTGTTCCGTTGGGACTGTGGCTTTTGCTCGTTTTCGTTGCGCTTGCCTTCCCCTCTTTGGTATTTCCATAACCTTGAACCTTCCAAGTTGGAAGGCTGTCGGTTAGCGCTACGGAGATGTGTTAAAGTTAGGTGTCAGGACGTCGAATGTCTCAGTACTCTGTCAGTTTTGTGCCTAGTTATTGCACTTTCTGACTGTATATAGTATCATGTTACAGTGATGGAGAGTTACTCTAAACTCGTATCCATATGTCCTTTTCTCTTTTACATTTATTTATGGCTCAACATCCGAGTTTCAAATTGCACACCTGATGAGCCGTCACGAACCATACGGCGAAACGTACGTCGTGTGAAACAACTTGTTTTGTAGTCAACTAGTCCATCACAATGTCATGCATGAGGAGTACTGTAGGAGTTTGGCTTTCGGCTTGTACAATTCGTTTTCGCAAAGCTTCCCTTTCTTTACTTATCTTTGATATTTATGACCCACCCAAGTTGGGTGGTGTGCTGCTTTGCTGCTTCGAATTGTAGTTAGACCGCTTTGTCAAATATCGTACTGGTCTCGTCATCGTCCAGTAACAATCGACATTCTTTGTTCCGTTGGGACTGTGGCTTTTGCTCGTTTTCGTTGCGCTTGCCTTCCCCTCTTTGGTATTTCCATAACCTTGAACCTTCCAAGTTGGAAGGCTGTCGGTTAGCGCTACGGAGATGTGTTAAAGTTAGGTGTCAGGACGTCGAATGTCTCAGTACTCTGTCAGTTTTGTGCCTAGTTATTGCACTTTCTGACTGTATATAGTATCATGTTACAGTGATGGAGAGTTACTCTAAACTCGTATCCATATGTCCTTTTCTCTTTCCAAAGATAATAATAATCTTTATTTCAGGATTACCCTAAGGCTAACGCCTATCTGAGTGTTGTCAAGTGTTGAAGAAAGTTGCAACTTCGCAACATTTTGGAATTGCTATTCAAGTTTGATTCTAAAATAGCAAAATGCTACACAAAATATTGAAATTAAAATAATTCCCTGAGGCTTCAATAATCGGTATAGAAAAAGAATCGTGGAAACTGAGTTTTAGCGTTCAGTTTTTCCCGAGCTAAGCCATATGGATGCAGCTAATGGGGTTGTATTCGGCACTTGTGCCAGTGGTTGTGAGACTTACCCACTCACCCCCACCGTTAGGCGCTGCATCTGCCGCTAGGGTTTATCGGGTGTTAGCGGCCGTCGTGAGTTCCTTTCGGGAACGGATACGATAATTTACTTTTTTTTTAAGCCACTGGTAGACTCTACATGGCACGACTTTCCGCTCCAGGATGATTATCATTATGCTATGTCTTCTGCAGTTGTGCATGTACATGTGTGTGTGTATGTGTGTGTGTTTGAGGGTGCGGGGGGATTATGATTTCTTCGCTTCTTTTGATCTGCGGGGGTCATTTCTATCTCTGAGTTTCTGAAGACTGGAAGTTTTTTGGATTTCAGCGCTACACGTGTAAAGTAAAAGGAAATTATCGTGTCCGTTCCCGAAGGGAACTCACGACGGCCGCTAACACCCGGTAAACCCTAGCCTAGCGGCCACACGTGTAACCGCCCTCCGGAACTCATAACCTAAACAGTACGATGCCATCACTGAAGAAGTTCATCTACATGACATTGTACTACTTGCAACCATGATCACCCATGCCACACGATCATATACAGTCAACTTCGCTAGTAACGACTGCGGATATAACGACAAATCACGAATAACGACAGAATTGCCATGCCCAGAGCAAAGTTCCATCCAACTGTAATACGTATAATGAGACTTCGGGTATATCGACACTTCGCGAATAAGGACACTTTTCTGATGCCCCGCCGAATGTCGTTATAAGCGAAATTGACTGTACATGTATAGTTTTGCATTTTATCATCAATTTTACCCGTTCTTTTACGGTCTTGCTAGCAATAATTTTTGTATTTTTGTATTTTTGAACTCGGATGGTGAGCCAATTGAATTATGGTAAAAAAGAAGATCCGGATAAGTTGGTGGACAGTTAGTCATAACTCGTAACACTTCGTCCTGCTCGATGTTTGTATTTGTTTTTATTTTACATCGCAAGCCAAACGGGCAATCATGCCCAATGTTCTGCTGAAGATGGAAGGCGAGAAAAGATTCAAGAACAATATGAGAGGCCAGGGGCATAGTTCAGTCTTCATCCATCTGCATTCTTTGTGTTTACTACAGTGAATGTACAGTCAGACTTCTGCAGGGCGAACACTAACGGGCCGGTGGGTTTTTCCACTATAACGGAAGTCCCCCTTACACATCATCGTGCCCAGTGGATACACGGTGATGAAGTAATGAATAAAAGTCTCCTAACTAAGTGAATCATTGTTTTCCCTGCATTGACATGTACATCCAAGTGTTCAAGAATTGCAAAACTGGGCGAATGAATGGATGGATGGATAAAGTCATGAATGGAGCAGGAAAACACAACATTCTTCAACTAAACGTCCTACCGTTCTTCCTCAGCAGACCGCGATGTTTACAGATGTACGAGCCCACTCATTCTCATCCTAACCCCTCCGTAGCTCTGCACGTGAAGCACCCTCAAGCTAATAAATGAATGGATGGATGGATAAAGTAACGAATGGGGCAGGAAAACACAACATTCTTCAAATAAACGTGCTACCGTTCTTCCTCAGCAGACCGCGATGTGTACAGAATGCTGATGTAGAAGTACACTCAATCTCATCCTAACCCCTCCGTAGCTCTGCACGTGAAGCACCTTCAAGCTAATAAATGAATGGACGGATGGATAAAGTAACGAATGGGGCAGGAAAACACAACATTCTTCAAATAAACGTGCTACCGCTCTTCCTCAGCATACCGCGTTGTTTATAGATGTACGGTACGAGCGCGCTCATTCTCATCCTAACCCCTCCGGAGCTCTGCACGTGAAAGCACCCTCAAGCTAATCAATCTAACCCACGTGAACTTACATGACTGTTGAAGCGATTGCGAGAAAACGCAATGGCGAGCAGCCACCGATGGCCATCTTGTCACGCTGGCTGTATCTGACTGGACAGTGGTTGCACTTGCAAAGACTGATGAAGATTCTCACTCCTAAATGGCCGGCTTCCAGAACACTATTTCTACAGAGTCAAGCAAACTCCATTCTCACCAAATATTTCCGACGAACCGTTCTGGGAGTGCACTGCAGGAATTGTAGGTCGTTACATGTAAGACTAATATATATAACTATAAGAGTTTCGGTTGGACATGATTATTATATCTTTTCTACGGGTCTCGGTCGTGCGGAGCCGTGTGGCTTTGGTGTGTGGCGATATTGTTGCCAGGTAGAAACAGTGCCAAAAGCACAGGCTTCTAACTCACTCTGGGTTTTATTTTCACAATTTCCTGAGAGCTGTACTTTCATTAGCAGTACATGTCTACATGTATACTGTACTGTACTGAGTCTGTACATCCTGTACATGTAGTCCAGGGATTTCGTGCCTTCCACTTCCAGGTGTAGATAATTATCTACCTTTACACTGTTACAGCTACATCAGTACATCATGGTTTTTTTTGTCTTTTTTTTTTTTTTTTTTTTTTTACTAGAGCCACGTAAACCCGTCATGTGTGACCCATGAATAAGGGGAGTGGTGGCGTGGTCTGGGATGCTCTGCCGACCTTGTCCTTGGCCTTGGGTCTCGGCTTCATCGCAACCAGGCGCGCACTCTACACTCCAGTCGGCGACAAACTGAAAAGTAAGAGGAGTCTGGTATGTGATTGGTAGATCTACTGTCGTGGACATGGAAATCCGGTCGCACGTCTACATGTAGCGGCCCCAGGGCTGGTCGCATCGTATCAACAATGCATGTGCGCTGCATGCAACGACGACGTTCTGTACGCGCTGAGGCCGTGAGGGCGCCGGTCCCGGTCAATCGACTGGATTTCCATGTCCGCGACAGAACTATACAGTCATGATTGTGTTCAAAGCAGTGCCGCGAACTCCAAACCGAAGCCCATCTCATATTCGCATTGAGTGCATGGGCCATGGGGCATCATCATGATCATGCCGCTCTCTACACGACTGTAGTGTAGATTCGGCCTCGCCTATTCGTACACATGTGTAGATGAACGATGACAAAAAAATCGGTGATACCATTCATCTGAGTGATTCTCCGCTGTTGAGTGTTGTTTGCCACGCAGCTCATTCGGCTTGTGGCACGTAGATCTACAAAGCCGCTTGCACTTCGCCAATATTAATAAAGCATCGTTCACCAATGAAAACTAATGGAAGCACACACAAGACGTATCGTTTCTCTGTACTGACCATCGCGGAGCGAAAAAATCGTGACGACTCGCCTGAAGGTCGAGTTTTCCGCATCCGTAGGAGCGCCACCACACTCAAGGATCAATGGCAATGCTCAGATGCCGTATATAAAGGGGTGGGGAGGTGAGTAGATCAGACGCACCAAATTGGAAGTTCACCACCGAAAATTACCTTAAAAATTGTATATTGTCTTCAGTCTATCCACCCGCCGCCATGACCACTTATGCCTGCTTACACACAAAATATTCCTTCTCAAAATCCCGAACCACCTAAACAATTATTATGATTGGTGTCACCTCAGTCGAAATACCCGTCCCTCGTTTATCTGTTCTTCTCCGATCTCCCCTTTTTGTTGTCTATATTGTACTCTCATTGGCTCTCCCTTCCATAGAACTTGCGCAGTGCGACCTCTATCTCAGAATTTAAGAATGCGCTGCGTTATGTGAAATAGGCTGACCATTGCCTCGCTGTAGTCAACTGATATCTCATTTTTTTTAATTTTTCTTGTAAAGAAAATAGGACCTAGACGTTACTGGTTATGACTAACAGTCCACCAAGGTAACGAGATAATATACAGTCAGATAGTGCGACAACAAGGCACACAACTGACAAAGTTATTGAGTCATTCAACGACCTGACACCTAGTTCAAACATATCTACGAAGCGCAAACCAACAACCTTCCAACTTGGAAGGCTCAGATGCGGAAAGTTCCAATGAGGGGAGGGGATGTGCCACGAATTCTAGAGGCCCTGCTCGACGATGAGGAGGAGAGGTGCGAGTGCATCATTCCAGTTCTTGTCCTGGACGAACGCTTTCTCAGGCAACGAAGGGTCCAAATGCCACGAACAAGTAACTATTCCGAGATCACAGTACCAGCCTACACCCTGGACGATTTTCGGCAACATTCCGTACGTCGACAATCGCGTTTGAGGTTGGTTTTGTTGGCGGAGGAATACAGCAGTGACACCCCCTCACCCCACATGGCTTCAACTTGAGGCAGTCCATGTCCACACATCAGTTTTTACAACAGGCAGATGGCAGAGACCTTTAGCCGAACATTGAGGCTGGGAAGTATGGTACCAGGGCCAATGACATAAATTATGGCGCGGAGCTGGACAGCATCCAGCATGGCCAGGTGTGAGGGAGCTGATCCCATCCACGCAAGGGGGGCATATTCCAGCATTGGCCGAACGAATCCTTTGTAGACAGTCACCCTGCCCGCGTGGCTGAGGAGGGGTACTGCCTTCCGCAGGAGGCGCAGCCGCTGCTTGGCACGTGATGCAACTAATTACAGTGTGCTGAAGGTGGAGTTGATAGCTAGGCTTGCAATCAAACGTCACTCCGAGCACCTTGACAGATTCATCTGGCGGGAGAGGACTTCCACCATGGACATACATGTAGTAATCAAGTAGCGTGCTCCACTGTCGGAAGAGTGCTCAATGCCCATCTAGGGCAGAGCCTTGTACTAGTGGTGAAACGAATACTAGTAACTAGTATTCGAATATTCGAACATTCGTTCGGTTTGTCACATTCGAATAATCATTCGTTATTAAAGTCACATTCGAGTATTCGTTACGTCACTTCGAATGCAGTGCCTGTACATACATGTACATGCACGCCGAACATGGCACAGTGCAGTGCGTGCAGCCTGCCTGCGACTTTGTACTGCATGCATGCACATGTATGTCCATACTGGACTGCCAATGTTGCACATAACATGTACGAACTTCAAAGTAGCCTTATGACATGTGGCAATACATTTTATGTGGCACTACCGTTTGTCATACCTAATAATAATGACAATATCCATCAAATGACTGGGAGGAGGGCATGTGATGTCATTTCTGTTATTATATTATTATTATGTGCTTGTTCGCGTAGACATCAGCATGGCCTGCAGCTGCATTAATGGGCATGCAAATCATGCAAACCAGCCAAAAATGTTCGCATAAGCATTTCTGTTACCAAAAGAATATTCGTTCATTCGTTCGATAAGCCGAACAATATTCGGGTAGTAGGATTTGACATTCGTTTCACCACTACCTTGTACACAAGAGAAATACTCTAAAACCAGAAGTCTAACGAGTCACAAAGTTTTTAACGACCACATTTTTCGTTTTTTGAAGAAACGTTATCGCGAACGCGGTTTGAGATGTCTGTGTAAAGATGTGCATACAGATGGATGGCCAGGTAGCCTTCGTTAAACTTTCTGCACGTTATCATGCCAAAATTACAAAAACGCTAAACTTCTTGGTCGTTAAACTTTCCGGTTTTACAGTAGATTGGAAGCTGTGTCGGAACTCCGAGTTTCAAGTATTACTACGATCATCAGGCTACTGATGACTCCAAAACGGGCAGCCTGAACATAAGGGAGCGCAAGGTGATAAGAACTGACTCTGAGGAGAATCGTAGCGAGTCACGTGCAGGCGAGAAGTTGCCCAGTCTTCAGACTTGGGTCTATGCAGCAACGGCAGTTCCAGTATGAATAAAATCGAATCGAATAGAGCTAGGGACCTAAAACTAAGTGCCAAATCCACTCATGCTCTCACCATTATACACACATTCTCTCACCCTCACTCACAAGTAGTGTTTTGAACACATGCAGTAGACACACTAGAACATACACACGCTTTTGCAACGCAACCAATATGGCCCACTTAAATTCAATATGCCACCGCCCGCGCTGCGCAGCATCTCATGGTTCACTAAAAACGCACAAACACGCACACACACACACACTTCATATTTCCTAAGTCATCAGTTAGTTAGCTAGTTGATCGGAGTCTGAGTGGACCATTAGCGCTTCTGTTGTAATCAGTAAGCAAAGAGCGTCATTTTGACATACATGTACATGTTGCATGTTGCATGTTGCATGTTGTATGTTGTATGTTGCATGTTGTATGTTGTATGTTGTATGTTGCATGTTGCATGTTGTATGTTGCATGTTGTATGTTGTATGTTGTATGTTGTATGTTGTATGTTGTATGTTGTATGTTGTATGTTGTATGTTGTATGTTGTATGTTGTATGTTGTATGTTGTATGTTGTATGTTGTATGTTGTATGTTGCATGTTGCATGTTGGTGTGCCCAACTCACTATACATGTACATGTAACATCAACCTCGCTATAACGTGAAATTTGCTATACCCCAGAGATAACGGTATAACGAGGTCGGACATGTACTGTAAATGAACACGTACAGTGTACATAATTATACTGTATGATACCAGACTCCAGATCAGGCAGATTGTAGTGCTGACCAGCCCGCAGCCTGCAATCAACTGCGAAGGGCATTTGCCTGCAGGGTAAGCTCGAATGCCCCTGATTCTCTGAATCGAAGCAAGTGACAGTCCATCGCATCAAGCAAAACGAAATCTCGCAGTGCAGGTGATTCATCACCACAGAAAAATAATTGAATGCAAACAAGACTTGCCAGGGTCTTCAGGAACACTGAAGTCTGAACATTCCCTGCCCACCATACTGGAGGTGGAGACAATCAGGGGCGCAAATGAACCATGATTATTTTGCTACCCGCTGCTATCATGGCTATGGGTTGTTGTTGTTGTTGTTGTTGTTGTTGTTGTTGTTGTTTATTGTATTTTACTTCACCAAGTGAACAGGCATTTCTGCCTTCTCACCAGGTCAGCGGAGATTTAGTTCCGACAAAATGATGAAAAGTGAATGGAAATGTACATGTATGCATAACATGATTAAAATCATGTCCGTAATACTAATAGCCCTTTCACACGACGGGAGAATGTCACGGATTCTCGGCTGTGCGACAGGATCACCAGGGTGATCATCGATTTATTTGAAATCTGAGCCGTAGGCCCTTACTGGGCCTTAGCCCGCGAGATCGTAGCCCGCAACACCCTGACCCCCATACTGTGCGTTTTCGATTTCGGTTTCGATTTCGATTTCGATTTCGGTTTCGGTTTCGATTTCGATTTCGGTTTCGCGTTTCTTGAATTGGCTTGTATGCGCTGGGTCTGCAATTCATGAACTGGCTTGTCACAATCGTGTCTTTGTTGTATGCGCTGTGTCTACAAAGCTAGTCG